CAATTTATTGTAATAATTGACCATGGAATTACTAGAATTAATCCATACCAAGATTTCGTTAGATCTTAAACAATTTTAATAATAATTGATCATAAAATTCCAAGAATTAGTCTAAACTTAAATAATTTTGATATTAATTGATTATAACTCCAGGCTTTAACGATTTGGATAATAATTGACTGTAGAATATCAAGAATACATATGTACCGTTTAAAGAATCAAAACGATTCATTTTGCCATTGGATGAAGCCAAATTTCCCACTCTTCTACCTTTATTAATGAGAAAAAATTAATTTAGGAATCAATAGAATCCATTTATTTAAGGGATGAAGCCCATGTTGAGTTGAACCTCGATTTTATTATTTATTAACCAAAAGGTTTTATAGGTGTAAATTAATATACGTCCTGGCACTTTAAGATCTGAAATTTTACGGTTGACCACCTATTAATTTATATCTCATCTTTATCAATTTTCCTTAGGGTTACCGTTTCGTCAATTATACACCCGCCATGGAAATGACCATATCAAATACGTATTGATTTTATCTCAATCGTAATTTACTCAAAGAATTGACCATTCCTATCGGACGAAACTAAACAGAATGCTCCACCGATTAGGTTTTTATCTATTGGGCGATATTTGTAGAATGCAGCCATCGCTAGGATGTATTGTACTCTGTTATGGACTATAGACCCAAGTTCGACAAAAATAACTGTCACGATTAAGAAAGAATTGTACATTTCAAAGGAAATATTCATCTCGACAGAACGAAACTATGATTTCTTCATAAACTAACATGCGATCTGGACATGAAGTATATCTTTCTGTCGTTCGCTATATTGACCTACCAAGAACAAAAACGATCCCCTAATAAAACAAGGACAGTTCTTTAGGAGAAAGATTCCTAATGAAATAAATTATTGACCTTTGATCACGTAACTATTGATTTTTGGTTTTCCTGTATGATTTTCATTTGACTATGAAACCCATTGACTTAATCTCGATTAATTAAAACAAATTGTTCATCTATGACCGCGTAGCTGTTCTGTTTAGTATAATTCGTGTAACCCGGAACGAATATGGAAGGTTTTCTACCGAAACAGAATTCTTTAGGATTTCCTTGGTTCTTTAGGAGAAATGATCATACAAATTCATGAAATCATTGACCTAACCTTGATTCATTAAAACAAATTATTGACCTTTGATCACATAGTTATGATTATGAGAGTAAAACAAGAATTCAGGCCTCAACGAAAAATTTTTTAGATGAATGTTCCTTAGTAGAGCCAATGATCACACTTCTTGAAACCATTGACCTAACCTCAATAACAACGATTCCTAATAAAACTAATTATTGACCTATGATCACGTAGCTATTTGTTTCTCTGTATGATTTTCATTTGACTGTGAAACCATTGACTTAACCCCAATTAATTTAAAAAAATTATTGACCTATGATAACATAGTTACGAGGGTAAAACAAGAATTCAGGCCTCAAAGAAACAAATTTTAGATGAATGTTTCCCTAGTTGAACAATGATCTACAATTCTTGAAACCATTGACCTAACCTCAATGACAACAATTCCTAATTAAACAAATTATTGACCTATGATCACGTAACTATTGGTTTCTCTGTATGATTTTCATTTGACTGTGAAACCATTGACTTAACCTCGATTAATTAAAACAAATTATTGACCTATGATCACGTAACGATTGGTTTCTCTGTATGATTTTTATTTGACTGTGAAACCATTGCCTTAACCCCGATTAATTAAAACAAATTATTGACCTATGACACGTAGCTATAGTTTTTCTGTACAATTCATGAAACCATTGATCTAATCGAAAGGAGTACGGAAAGTTTTTTTCGAAACAGAACGTTTTATGTTTTCTTAGCTTCTTTCGTAGAAATGATACAAATTCATGACACCATCAAAGACAACAATTCCTAATTAAACAAATTATTGACTTATGATCACGTAGCTATTGGTTTCCCCGTATAATTTTAATTTCACTGTGAAACCATTGACTTAATCTCGATTAATTAAAACAATTATTGTCCTATGATCACGTAGCTATTGGTTTCCCCGTATAATTTTAATTTCACTGTGAAACCATTGACTTAATCTCGATTAATTAAAACAAATTATTGACCTATGATCACGTAGTTAGTTTTTCTGTACAATTCATAAACCATTGACCTAATCGAATGGAATACGGAAAGTTTTTTCGAAACAGAACGCTTTATGTTTTCTTAGGTTCTTTAGAAGAAATGATACAAATTCATGATACCATCGGTACCATCAATGACACCAATTCCTAATGAAACAAATTATTGACTTATGACCACGTAGCTGTTGGTTTCCCTGTTTTGTTCATGAAACCATTGACTTAACCTCGATTAATTAAACCAAAGTATTGACTTATGATACGTAGCTATTGATTTCCCTATTTATGAAACCAATGACCTAACCTTAATGACGATTCCCAATAAAACAAATTATTGCCCTACAAGCGCGTAGCTTTCCCTGTACAATTCATAAAACCACTGACTTAACCTCGATTAATTAAACAAATTGTTGATCTATAATCTATTTCTGTACAATTCTTGAAACCATTGAGCTAACCTCTATGACACCGATTCCCAATGAAAGAAATTAGTCAGACCCATAGAACTATTGACCTACGATCACTTCCTTATAATTTCTATCATAAAATAAGAATTCCATGCTTCAACGAAACCGAACAAAAGTGTGAGAATATTTTGCTCTTATGTAACAATTATCGTACAACCCATGAAACTATTGACCCCGTTTTGTTTTAAATGTAGATACCTCGTTTCTCCCTTTTGTCGTCAAATCAGTGCAAATCGTCGATAATGTTCGAACAATAGGATTTCCACTTCGACCTATCGCCAAACTTTCTAAAAATTTTAAGTATCTGGAAACAAAGGCCGTCGACCGTTGTCAACAAAATTAGGCCGGTTTTAGATAATAGCTCGAGGAAAAGGGCCAGAGAGAATTGTATATAAATAAATATACATAATAATAATTTTTTTAATGTATTCAGTTCTCCCTCCATGGCTTTGATGATGGCGATTGCGTGTTAAAATGGTCGTCGGCCACCCTTTCGTAGGGATAGAAACGCCCTAGAAAATAGTCGAAGGGTGGTCCGCACGGCCTCTCTTTGCCACGACAGTTGGCCCCTCTATGGGAAGGGAAAAAAGAAATAGTTGAACCATGATAGAACGGTGAGGGGGTTCCGGGGAGGATACGAGACTATGAATAGGGCAGATGTGTGACGTGAGGGTGTTCTACGCCTATTATCTAGCCCTCGCACGGTTCCCATGGGGGTTATTTCACGCAGGAGTGATATTACAATCGACCGTTCTGCATTGGGTGAAGCGAAGCCGGGCGGACCCGACGATACAACCGTTCTAAAAATGGCGGCCGAAAAAAATTGACATGCGAAGAATATGTATAAATATGATCTACAATGCACTGTGTTGTTCTCATTCTCTTAAAATATATGTAATTAATTATGATCGATCATGATTTGATCAAGACAAAAAAATTAATATCACACAATCCACAGAATCACGTGAAAAAACTCCTTTTTTCCCTACTTGAAAATCATAAAATCCGAGTAGAATCATGACTTTCCTCCCGTTATGATTTTGATTCCAATGATCAAATGGGAAAACTAGTTATAAAACTCGATATTATTTACAACGATTACAGCTCTTAATACAGTAGAAAGTTAATTATGATCGGCCATGATTTGATCATGACTAAAACCAAAAATTAAAATCATCATCATCAGCACAATCCATTAAAAACCACGTGAAAAACTCCTCTTTGCACTCTTCTAAAACCATAGAATCTGTGAAGAAAGTAATCATGAACAAACATGATTTTCCTCGTGATGATGATTCCAATGATCAAATTAGAAACGAGCTATAAAACGCGATATTAACGACAAAGATTTCAGCTTTTTATTACGTATGATCGATCAATATTAAAAAGAAAAAGAAAAGAAAATCACACAATCCTTAAAAAACGTGAAAAACACTTCTCCCTCTCACTCTCTCTCTCTCTCTTTAAAAGGCATGAAATATTTGGAGAAAGTAATCATGAACGAACATAATTTTCCTCATGATGATGATTCCAATGATCAAATTGAAACAAAGCCATAAAACGCGATATTGTCGACAAAAATTTCAGCTTTTTATTACGGTATAAAGTTAATCATGATCGATCATGACTAAAAAGAAAATGAAAAGAAAATCATAAAAGCTAAAGACGTGAAAAACACTTCTCCTCTCCCTTCAAAAGTCATGAAATATGCGAAGAAAGTAATCATGACCAATCATGATTTTTTTACACTTATGATCATGAAGATTCTAATGATCAAATTGGAAAGAAGCTATAAAACTATAAAAGAAACAAAAAAAATCATACCATCCATTAAAACCACGTGCTCTCTTCATAAAAAAGTAACACCATTGTTGAAATTAATCATGAACAGACATAATTTTGATCATGATTTTTTTTTTTTTTAAGTTTAAATAAAACCAACTCATATTTTTTCTTTGAAAAGTATAAAATCATTTGAGAAAATAAGCATGTTTTTCCCTCATGATTATGATGAAAATCATAATGGTCAAATTGAAAACGAGTTTACGCTGTCGTCAAATGTGGATAGGCAGACCAAAATGATAATTGCTCAGACCAAAATCGAGCAAACAATGCATAAAATAAAAAATTCAAAAAGTAGACTGGTTATTATTGCAAATATTTTTTTGAAATATGGTCAGATCATGTTGATCGTGATCAAGCCTCTATTCTATTAATAAAGGACAATCATGATGTTAATCATATTTCATCCATCTTGCGCAGGACCTGTGGCCATCTATTGCGTCGGCAAGGTTCATTTTTATATATATTTTTAATTATGTATTATTATTTTTAGAAGATTGTCTGTTTCAGGACTTACATGAAATTTGTCGTTGTCATCGGTTCGCCAGCGCCGACTTCTGTCGGAAGCCTGATTGGCCTGTAAAAAATCTTTGAGTTTCTATTCACATTCTGTTGTCGGTCGAACGATGGCCACTTACCTTCTTTTCTGTACGGCGGCGACAGATGGCTCGACGACGATCTGGACGCCGAGGAAAGTCGTCCCTGGAAAAGGATTTAAGATGAGGAAAGGAATTTATTTTGTCACCTGTCTTTCTTTCTGGTCGATGAGTTTCGACGAACCGTTGAGCTTGTCGATGGCCCTGTCAGCGAGCGACTGCTCTGTACAGTCGACGAATGCATAGCCGCCACGTTTCAGAAGGACGTTGGTGCAGGTGACAGCGTTCTCGAGGAAGAGGCGCCTCAGGTCATCCTCAGTCGTCTCGTTGGACAGGTTTCCGACGTACAACTTGCTCATAATAAACCTCGGAGCACGCACACACTACTCAATAATTATTTCTAATCTCTTTTTACCTCGAATGGCATTTGCGGTCAACAAGAACCGTTTCGGCGGTCTCACGCTCAGACGTCGTTTCAGTCTTGCCTTCGTATTCAGCTTGTGTCTATTACCGGAAGACCGAAAACGAGATAAACTAACTACGATAACTATACTATACTAATATAAAGTAAATAACTACTAACACAGATGTAAATGGATTTTATTATTTTAATTTCAACAAACTGACCATCTGACTTTTCACAAAAATAAAGTTAAAAACAATAGTATAAATTATTGTAATAAATACAAATATATAAACATAAGTTGCATTTACTTGCACACAAACCAACAAATATATATATATTTTTTTTTACAATTATCAAATAATAAACTAAGCTGATAAAGATGTTAGTACCCATAAACATGCAATGGTACGGGCAAGGACCAGATCAAGGCAGAATTAGGTTAAAATTATGAGTTAATTCATCAATGGCCATCACTGGTAGAGTATTACAAAATTGCCAGGTCTGATCACTGGTGGTCAAGCCCTGAGTTTGCGATGGTGACCATCACCGGTAGAATATTGCAAAATTGTCGGATCTACTCACTGGTGGTCAAGCTTTGAGTAGTGATGGTGACCATCACCGGTAGAATGTTACAAAATTGTCAGATCTGCTCACTGGTGGTCAAGCTTTGAGTAGCTGTGATGGTGACCATCACTGGTAGAATATTACAAAATTGCCAGGTCTGATCACTGGTGGTCAAGCCCTGAGTTTGTGATTGTGACCACCGGTAGAATATTACAAAATTGTAAGATCTGATCACGTAGGTCAAGCCATGAGAAGTTGCGATGGTCACCATCACTGGTAGAATATTACAAAATTGTCAGATCTGCTCTCTGGTGGTCAAGGTTTCAGTAGTCATGCAATGGTCACCATCACCAGTAGAATATTACAAAATTGTCAGATCTGATCACCCATAGTCATCTAGCCCTGAATAGTTGCAATGGTCACCATCACCAGTAGTATATTACAAAATTGTCAGATCTGATCACCCATAGTCATCTAGCTCTGAGTAGTTGCGATGGTCACCATCACCGGTAGAATGTTACAAAATTGTCGGATCTGCTCTCTGGTGGTCAAGGTTTCAGTAGTCATGCAATGGAGACCATCACCAGTAGAATACTACAAAATTGTCAGATCTGATCACCCACTGGTCACCCATCTAGCCCTGAGTAGTTGCAATGGTGACCATCACAAGTAAAATATTACTAAAATGCCAGATCTGATCACCGGAGATAAAGCTCTGACAAGTTGTATTAACATGGTCATAGATTAAAATTGGACTGAAGGATTAAACATTGCCAATAAACCAATAACCATAGATTTTTTAAAAAATGCAGTGATCATCACTGATTGTTCATTTGCTCGATTTAGTCTGGGTTAAATGGAAAGAATTTAAACAAAACAAAATTTTTTATTATAGGTAAATGAGTTAAAATAAATTTTAAAATTTCCCAATTGAATTTGCCTCCTCCCCCCTTCACAGCGTATGGCAGTATAATTAAAATATAATAAAACAAACGTTCAATTGTTTAATCCCCCTCCCCAAAGACTTGCTTTCATTACAATAAAATTTTAAATAATTTAAAAAAAACAACAGTAAATTGTTTAAAAATCAGTTTTAATAATATATTTGATATCTCAACGGCTAGGCGAAACACGGTCGCCCCACGACTCCATCACCTGCAGAAAAAAAAAAAAAAAATTACCCTAAAAAAATTAATATTAAAGTTTTACCTGAGGCTGTTCTCTATGTGGTTGGGAACCACTGAGGCACTGTGTCGACACCTGCTCACCGCCCGTCCTCGACACTGTCACGTTTATCGTAAGCGCGTTGTCCACAAGGAATTCGTTCAGTGTCGTGAAACAGAAGCGAAACAGTGTCGTTATAGCTAGGTTGAACTTATAGTGCGGTGTGCTCTCTGTCTCGGGGAAGTTGCTGAATGTAAGTTTAGCCTTCGGCGACTCCGCACCTGGCGACTCGCACGTCATCGTCCAAAGAAAGTCCTTCAGCTTCTCCAACTCGCCAAGCCTCCTGACAGTCCTATCAAAGAAAGAAAAAAAAACCATGATATAACAATTAATATTAAAAGTTACAACAAAAACCAAACAATTAAATAATTCAATTATCAATAAACAAAAATACAGCTTAAAAAGATCATTATAAAAAAACTTTTTTTTTACAATTAATTTAAAAAAACAATGTGCTCAAGTTACAAATTAATTTCTCAATGGCTACAGAACAGTTACAAATTAATAAATAAACCCTCTTATTAGGTTGCATCGGTTTTCCAATGCCTTTCTCACAAAAGTAACTAATGGTTTGTCAGAGTTGTCGGCATATCAAATTTCTGACAACTGCTGGGCCAATGAGAGAGCTATTTCCACATAGAACAGGGTGTTTTCCGACGAATACACAGAAAATTGTAACAAAAGGACAACCGACCAATTCTGGTTTTATTTTAAAGACAGACATGATCAGAACCCACTATGAAAAAAAAAGCACCCTGGAAGAAATTATTTCAATACACTCCCCACGGCAAGATGCCCCAAATACCTCAAATATAATTAATTAAACTGAAAAACCTACGCTAACATAAAAAACATCGAAATGACAATAATATCGTATACAGAAACTACAATAAAAGCCTATTAAACAGAAAAATAATAAACTGAAAAATAAATAAAAATATAAAGCAGAATTGAGAATTTTCTTTAAAAATACCTTTTAAACGGCTATTGCCACAATTAAAGTCTAATGTTCTCCCCGATCATCAGTTTGGCTTCCGCCCCCACCATTCCACAGTCCAGCAGGTGTTTCGCGTTGTTGACCGTATATCCTCCTCCCTCGAGCACAAAGAATATTGTATGGGAGCTTTCCTTGATAAGGCACAAGCGTTTGACCGTGAGTGGCACAGGGGACTCATGTACAAATTAAAGCATGTCCTTCCAAATACTCTTTACCTAATATGTACTCCGATCTTATCTAACTGAGCAGTTCTTTCGGGTCCGACAAGGATCAGATTACTCCGAATACTGCTCTCTGGCTGCATGAGTACCGCAGGGCAGTGTGCTCGGACCAATCCTCTACATCCTTTATACTGCAGATATTCCCACTAAACCTACCACCCTACTTGCATCCTTCGCCGATGATACAGCTGTACTATCCTCCAATTCTGATCCTAGGGTTGCTTGGGAAGATCTGCAGGAACATATCTCATGTATAGCAGATTGGTGTAGACAATGGAAAATGAAGATAAACGAAAGCAAGAACGTCCATGTCACATTTACACTCCGAAGCAAACCTCCTCCACAATATACTACAACAACGTTCCTATCCCCAAATCCGACTGCGCTCGCTACCTTGGGTTCCACCTAGACTCACGACTAACATGGAATCAACATACACGACTGACATGACAAAACCTAAACAGACGGTATGGTATGCACAGACTTACAGGACGACAGTCTAAACTATCGACAAAAAACAAACTTACAATTTACAAAACACTACTGCAACCAATTTGGATGTGGGGAACCGCTAAACCTTCCAATATCCAATGTCTCCAATCCTTTCAATCTAAAGTCCTCAGATCCATTGTAAATGCTCCTTATTATGTCTCAAATGCTACCCTCCACAATGACCTTCAAATTTCTTATATCCAAAAATTTATTCCCCAAAAATTTACCAAGTTTCACAAAAAACTCTCCCACCATCCAAGTAGTCTTGCCCAAGCCCTGTCCGATAGAACCCATCCCTACAACCCCCAACCCCATAAGGCATCAAGAGGAAATGGCCCCGTGACCTCCTTTCCGAGTAAAAAAAAAATTAATTAATTAAAAAAATAAATAAAATAAAATAATAATAATTATTATTCAGATATCGTGAGATGCGGTCGGGTGTGATGTAGGTTTCAGAAAAACATTTTCTTTATCGTGCCAACGTTTCGATCTTTTNCGAAATGTTGGCACGATAAAGAAAATGTTTTTCTGAAACCTACATCACACCCGACTGCATCTCACGATATCTGAATAACTATCGATTAACGGTCACTAATCTCTACACAATAATAATAATAATAATTAAAAAACTGAAGAGGGAGGATAACATTGATTATTTTCTCCCCTCAATGTAAATAGTTGTACATAAGTTCACGTATCCGCAAATTACATATTGTAAATAATAATTACAGATTGAAATAAAAATAAATAAAAACAAAGTTAATTAGGCGTTTAAAAAAAATAAAATAAAATAAAAACCTTCAAATATAAGGAAGAAAAAAAAAAGGCAATACTAATGTACAACAAATACTTAAAGATTAGAACAGGGGCATCGGTGACAATGACAGTTAGTCATTGACATGACGCTCATCACTGTAAGGTAACGGTTCCGGGTTCGAATCCAGCAGCCCTGCATCGAACCCAACATACCAATGTTTTTTTTGTTTTTTTTTTTCCAAAAACACCAGGTAAATATATTTGCCTAATAATTCAAGTAAATCTCGTCATCCGTCATAATTTAATAAAGATGGAACATTTAAAAGTACAAAATACAAGAATTTCTGTTTCGTGTTAGGCATAACGTATCATTTGAATATTCCTTACTACCCGCAGAGTTACCAAGTTGAACGGGCAATTTCTTCGTTAAAGAATGATATAGCTGTATTCGATTCAGAAAACCAAAAATGGATCAATTCATTACATTTTATCATAATGTGTTTAAATAATGCAGTATATTTCTCTACTAATTCCTTACCTGCGCGAGTATTTTTAGGTCGTGATATCACACTTTAAATTTGATATTAGAAAAAAAAATGGACGGTCAACAGTTTACCGAAATTTAATCAAAGCCCATAAAACATTGGAATCTAATTATAATAATAATAGATTACAAATTAAATACAACATCGGAGATACTGTATTATTAAAGTATCTTTATTTATCAAGCAAAGCCCATGACAAGACCACAAAATTAATGCCGAGCTATGATGGACCCTTTATCATAGTAAATAAAATATCGGAAGTAAGTTATTTGTTGACCACATCCAAAGAGCCAGATAAAGTAGCAAAAACGTTTCCTAATTGACAAAATGTCCTCTGCAATTGTAAAGAAAGAAAAACATTATGGTAATTTTATTCTTTTTACAAAATAAAATTTTGCGTTTTATACCTTTTAATCAAAACAATTATGGTACAAGTAGATTTATATTATAGACAGGAATAAATGTTTAATATTTTTAAAAAATGATATATTTAGAGTGTCACAGACAAACCATTGCCGAGGATATACAACAATATATGATTAAATTCACTAATTTTGTGGTCCGCTTGACCAATTAATATATTACAATTAATTAAGGTTTTTAGTTGAGATAAAAAAGTCAATGGCACGAGTGGGATTTTTCAAATGTTGTGTAATCAGGTTGGATTATCGACGACAAATGAAATGGCCACGGAGAGCTTTAGTGAAGTGTACTTCAGTTTTAATAATTAAATTCACTAATTTTGTGGTTCGCTTGAACAATTAATATATTACAATTAATTAAGGTTTTTAATCGAGATAAAAAAGTCAGTGGCACGAGCGGGATTCGAACCCACGATCTTCGACTTGATATGCTGCTGCTCTACCACTTGAGCTATCGTGATTTCGACCTACTCGGACAGCAACTTCCCATCTCAACCTCACCTTTTGAATTTTCCCTCCTTTTTGCCATATTGAAAAAACAAGCGGGATTCGAACCCACGACCACTCAGAGTAGTGGTCAGCATAAATTGTGGCCCATCTTGAAATATTTTTTTTTTTGTTACTTTTATCCCAAAAACAGGCAATATTTCATTACCCAAGAATGTCCATTATACAGTAGTTTCGTTGAATATCAAAGATTTTACTCTCATTTTATTTCCTTAATAATGCTAAACAATTAAAATTGTTTCCATGCATAAAAATATAAAAAATTGAAAAACAAAAAAAAATGAATACTAGAAAATGCCGAAGAGGAAAAAACATACATACAGGACCATAAAACACTAACAAAAACTCCCAAACAAGAAAATCAGGATAAATGTAGTATTTTGTTTAAAAATTCTTACCCGAAAACAAACCTCGTCGATACTTCTACCATGAAAACAACATGGAAAAGTTGATCAAAACAATTCATTATAAAATCCTTCCGGTTGTCTGTTCCCAATTCCAGGTTGAAAATCTGCAACGATAGGACATAAAGGAAATATAATTTATTTATTTTATTATTATTTTTTTATACCAATGAAGGTTCAAGGGTAACAGAATTAGGGTGCGATGCGAGGCAGTGGGAAACGAGGTCGTTTTTCAACCCTTGCCATAGGCACTCGCTCTCCTCCGTGAAGAAACAGCTGAGCCTCCTGAAGCCACACATGATGGCGTGCTGAGGCTGCATTGTCAATGGGACAACCGCCTGACACCCTTGGTTCGAACAAGGATAGTTGAGTACAGCGGCAATACCTAGGATAATAAATTTCCATCAGGTTTTGTCTTTTATTAAAGGGGAGGGGGTTTATGTTTTTATGTTTACTTTCAAGCCCGCGCGCTCGTATGTTCGAAAGTGGTCCCCTACACTCGGGGCAGAGGACAAGGCGCGAACGGCAATTCGAGCAGAGCATGTGGCCGAGGAGGCAGAGCCGGATCGGCGGAGTCACGTAGTCCCGGCACACAGGACATTCCAGTGCTGCCAATACTGCTTTCAGCAGCTCCGACTCTTGCAGCGTACTCCTCTGTACACCTTACAAGACAACAATTTCAACCATTCACTTAATTTAAAAAAAAAAAAAAAAAAAATTACTGTTTGAAGAATTCCCGGCTTCTGACTCGGTGACCCTTGACTCAGGGTACGGAGCGGGACGGGGAACGATCCTGTCATGTTGCATCCTTCCGACGCCCGTATCCCTCGCACCAAAGCCCATGTCAAGATGGCCAGAGCCGGACAGACACTGGAAAATTTTAAAATTGAAAATAAATTTCCCGGGTGTTTTAACTTGGCAGGCTTACTCTCAGGTCCTGTGGCAGGTCGTTTGCCTCCTCCCTTGGTATGTCGGCCTGCTGCATTTGAAACTCAGCGCTCAGCCCTAAAAAGAAATTAAAATATGTATTTAAAAAATAATAATAATAAAAAAAAAAGATAATCAAGTACTTGGTGAAGTGATCGGCCCTGTCGTAGAAGGTGTCGTGACTGTATCGACGAGGTTTGGTGCTCTGTACAAATAGACGAAGCCATTTTGGTTGTGGTTGTTGATGCTTACCAACAATGGTGAAATGCTTTAACAATTTTTTTAAAAATATTATATATTAAAAAAAATACTGAAATGACTTACGGTCTATTGTCGATTTCTTCCTGCGGAGCCGGGGCATTGGGGCGTGGCAGCTCTTCCCTACTCTGCACACCTGAAGAAAAAACCAGTCAATTTTGTTTTCTTTTTATTCTTTTTTTTTATTAACCTGGTGCATGGACGATAAGAGAACGCGGTGAAAATGTGTTGGGTATAGCACGTGTCGGGCGTTCAGGACGCTGCACGCCATTCTCCGATGCTCCGGATGTGCTTCCATTCCTGCTTCTAAAACAAACACACAATACTAATGAGCAGAGAGAGAGAGAGAGAAAAAAAAATTGTATCCACCTATTGTCCTTCGTACAAATTGTACAGACAGTGCTTTTATGCGCCATCATATATGTATTTTTTTCTTCTATCAAATTGATAAATCAACAAACAAAATTCATAACAAAATAGTTTCTCCATAAAAAAAAAATCATATGTTTTTCCTCTCCATTAATAATGTTCAACCGTTGTACAATTTCCAAGATGTACAAGGCGCTGGATCACTCCGTACAGTTTAACCCACTGTAACACGACAGCTTAGTTCACACAGCCAAACTAAACTCATAAACATAACAATTTAAGCGCAACGTCAACGATGAATTAGCAAATATCGACGACAATTTTTTCCAAGATTAAACCATGTGTCATTATGATGATTGTGCTGTTTTTAAAATTATGATATGGTGCCATCTTGATGACAATGCTGTTGTAAGTTGTTTGTGTCGTTGATGATTATGCTGTTATGAGAGATGACAAACTCAATAAATCGACTGTCAGCGTCCAGATTAAGCCATTGTTTATGATAAGGAATAAAATTTCATCATTTAGATTGACTGCGTATCGAACTGTACAAAACTGTCAATGACAAATCACAAACAGCAATACCAACGATAAATTTTTCAAACAAAAATTAAGACAAATTTTGTGTCGTTGATGATTATGCTGTTATGAGAGATGACAAACTCAATAAATTGACTGCCAGCATCCAGATTATGATGTTATCAACTTCTGATATGGTTGTTGTTTTATCTTGATGATTGTGCTGTTATAAGTTTGTTATAACGTTCCGTTTCATTTAGATAGACCGGGTATCAAACTGTACTAAACTGTCATGTATGACATGATAAATCTTTCAAGTCAATCATCATCATGATACATTTTTTCAAATAAACACTGATTTATTGTCATTATAATTATGCTGTTACGTTATATAATTATGTGTCAATTAAGGTCAACTGTCAATGCTACATACTCATATATCAAATGATTTAAGCATAAAAAAATGATGCTATTATCGTGTGATAAGGATTTTTGTGTTATTACGATGGTTGTGTGGTTTATCAAGTTTTCGATATTGAGATGATGTTGGACTATTCTAAACTGTCGATGCGACATACCACCAAGTTGGATCATACGTTTTGATTGTCATGTTATGTTGTTATCAGCCTGGTAAAACTTGTGAGTCGATGGAGGATTTTGTCCCTCCTTGGGTTAAAAGTAACAGGTGAGATTGTTTTTGTCGGTTTGGTCATTTCGGACGAGAGTCGATGGCCTACTATCCCAACGGTACAAAAGTTGATCGGATGAGCTCAGAGTTGAACGACCATGATGTAAAACATTCACAGAGCATTTACCCAAACATTATATATTGTTTATTTATATATTATTATTTTGAATCATTACCTGACTGTAATGTGTATCATCTCTCGCCTTCTCAGAGGCGTCCTGAGGTAAAATCGGCCAAAAGGCCCGACAAAGGACGTCGGACAGGCTGGTATGACAAGTTGACAACTCTGTTCCTTTCTAGTGACAACGCATCGCCAAGCGGACCCACTGATGCCCTTTAACACGCTGACACTGACAGCCTGACAGAGAGAACGGTTTACAAACCAGTTCTATAAAGAGTGGCGGAAAGAGAAATCATTAGATCTCCCGCCTTTTTTCGAAAAGTGAGATTGCTTGTTTTTCTTACAAGAAAATTTTATGTTAATTTTTTATCTGACCTAATTTGTCGCTATTTCTTTTCAAATTTTTTTTTTTAACAGTATATTATTATTAAAGTATAAGTTGTTATTAAAAAATTCCTTTAAACGATTGGCAAGAAAATAGGTTTTTTTCATGACAGCAGTTACTACCAGTTCTACGATGGCATAAGACTCGTATAATATAAACATGCTCTACTGTGATAATTAATTAAAGGAAAAATGTAACTTTTGATGACCATTGAATTATAATTGTGATGTTTGTATCGGTGGTGATGGGATTATTGGTCGATGGTTGTTGGCATAAAGAAAACGACTTCAAATCTTGACCGACCTTTCAATTTAATTTTAAATCTTTTTCAAGGCTGTCGCTTGATATCTAAGTGTCCTCTTTTTTTTATTGTTTTATTTATTCCTATCAATTGGTAAATGTTCCATGTTATTTTTCTACGACAGTCTTGAAAAATATTTAAAATTAAATCGAAACATCGGCCAAGATTCGAAGTCATTTTCTTTATGCCAACAACCATCAACTGATAAACCCATCACCACCGATACAAACATCACAATTAAAGGAAAACATTTTATTGCCAAGTTGTAAGGACAAGAGGTAATTAGAGAAACAAATGGCTTAGCGGATATAGTGAGGGAGAAAATTTTTAAGGTCGAAGGCACAGATGAAGAAGGGACTGGACGCAGTAGTTCTGTTCATGAGAAGGTCAAAAAGGGAGCGAGTTTCGACAGTGGTGTACAGACGATTTGAAGGGAAGGGAGAGGAATGGGAAGATATCTGAAAGAGGAAGAAGCCAAGTATTGCTTGTGGGTAGTAAGTCACTTCAAATTGGGGTATAATCAGTCACATGGGAACTTCTTGTGGAGTTGAAAAAAGTTGTTGATTCTGGGAAGAAAACGAGCCTACCTTTCAGATTTTCTAGGAAAAACATTGATTTTGTCGCAGTGACATAGAGGAGCACGGGAAAGTTTAACTCTAATCACCCCCTCCTCAAGAGGGGAAAGTGATAGGGTCGAGGTTATCAAGGGTCTGAGTGTTGAGGTGTCGACCGGAACCAGAAAGTAGAGGAAGGACTTCTAATTTGGCCAAATATTGCGAGAGTAATTCAGGATCCACGGACCTCTGGGCTATGGGCCCAGCTCGCTTCCATAATAACCACACTCTGCTGCCAGGTGGTTCTCAATGTTTCGGGGTTCACTTGCATATGAAGCGAACGTTGTTTGAATGCAAATAATAAAGAGGGTTAAATAAATTGAAAGGTTAACTGAATTATTTGTCTTCTAATTAATAAAAATAAAATCAGGGTAAAGAAAAAAAAATGAAATTTGGGATTCAATAAATCAATATAATTAAAATAAAAAGAAATACCCTCGTGCCAAATTACTCTCGGGTTCCAGTCAACACCAGAACACTCAGCCCTTGATTGCTTGGACCCTACCACTTCCCCCTCTCGAGGTCATCAGAAAAAGCTATTAACTTGCCATAACCTGTGTAGTAGAACGTCAAAAGTGTCTAGCATCCGGGCCGCAGGACCCTGGGGAGGGGACAGCCCTTGGAGGCTTTTGAGAATGAAGTGCAGGGTGTTGTGAAAAATAGCTAGTACTGACATATGACCTGGCTAGTACTGCAAGATCGTTCCAGACACGGAAGCCTCTTTTATACCTGGCTATGCTTGTTTTTCTGAATCTGAATCAAGGGGTTTGGCCAAGGAATCTGTTGCATAGCCTAGAGTAAGCCGCTCTCTCCGGAAGGCAGAAATGGTCTACTAGCCTTGATAATACAGCCTGTCGAGGTGTTTTACAAGCCAAGGAATACACTGTACACCCGTAGAACGTTCTTGAACAGAGCAACGCTTAAAATAGTTTGAGTAAGGTCTCCCTGTCCGCTCAGGAGTCAACCTGAAACGGCCAATACACATCTGATTTTCCTGCAACAAACTACAAACTTTGATGTGCAACTACCACCTTAACTTTTCATTGAATATTTGGCTGTGAAAAACTTTCCTTTTTGTTTTCCATTATTAGTAAAATTATTTTGTGTAGGTTTTTGCATAAAAATTTGCCTTCTAAATTTGGATTAAAAGAATCTAGACTAAAAATATATATGATTATAATTCTTTTTATAATCTTAGAAAAGGTTATAATTTCCAATTTAATGTGTTTAAATTATAAATAATGGGAATTAAATTATTTATTTATTATAGATAATAGATAAATATTTTAAATTAAAGAGTCACTTGTTTTTGGTTTTTATTCGTAGAATGTTGTGCAGCACTGTGATGGCAGGACGGACCAGTTGTACCGGTATGGGCGAACGACTGAAAACTCTTTTTCGCAGAGATCCTTCCCATCTGCGAGCCGTCTTCCAAAGGCCCTGATGTCTGCCGGGACTTGTCGGTGTATGGCAATATCGTCATTTTTACACCCCCTAGAAACATGCGCTGTGTCGAAGCGTGGATCGTGCCGCCTCGTGATGTCAAGCGGGGCGAGCCAAGCTCCCACGCTAACGTCCTCGCTGTTGTAAACGCTCAGCTGATCCGCATTGTTCGATATGAAAAGTACAAGGTCGCCGCTCAGCACATAAGCCCCGCCGAGGGCGTACGGCAGGTATCTGTCGCACAAGAACCATTTGTCTTCGCGCCACTTTCCTGATTTTTGCACCCTCGCTGTACCCGAGAAGTATCCCCAGTAGAAACGTCGTTCTGGCATGTTTTTCAAAGACGCTTCGACCGCCTTGACGTTCACAAATGTATCATCATCACATTTCAAAACATACTTGAATTTGTAGGTTGTCGCAAGATGAGTCATGACACTGAGCACCTTACGCGTTAAATTCCTATAGTGGTCCTTCACAGGAAGGATCAATAAATCACCATGAAGCTTCTGTTCCTGGATGATCTGAAATCTTCAAACAGGATTGAATACTGGAATACAAACTGATGATGGCAGTATACCTCTGCTCTCTGGTAACCCCCTGCCCACCGATTGCGAAGAGGTACTGCGTATGCGGTCCGATCAGAGATGACCAAGAGTCTCGTATCGCATCACGTCTCTCTGCGTTCCCGGGTGCGCTCAATACAGCGAGTACGATGTCAAAACGTTCCTTCTCAATTTCAATACTCGGCGAGAAGTTAAACGTGAAGAATGTAACGGTGAAACCGCATCCGAGGATGAAGCTGAGCAAGTGGGTTATATGGTTCGCTCTAAACCTCATCTCCTTCAACTAACCATCTACAATTAAAAACAAAAAAAACAATCAAATAAAAACCACTGGGTAAATAAACAAAAAACTTACAGTTTTTTAAAATTCATAGTTTAACCCATCGCCTCTGTTGTCTAATCGTTTTAAGTAATCATCTCGGTTATTCTGTCAATAAAAATTTAACATCAAACCGTACAAGACGGTGCGGACCCATGATCGAAACTATCTTATCAAATCATGGAAATTGGAAAGGTCCAAAACTATGATTTGTCAGGCTGGCTTCCGGCGTTTCGGACCCCGATGATCATCTCTGATCGTGATTACGATATAACCTTCATGGAACCTCCAAGAACAACGAACTTGGCTATTAACGAATCATTGAATCGACCGATTGTTTTCTTGCTGTGCTGATTGAAAGTTTAAAATCATTTAAATCATGTCGATCATTAAAGTTTAAACGAATTTCAACCATCACTGATAAACTCTTATCAATCTATTTATGTAAGACCTTTTAAAAAACTTCACTGTTGCCAAGATTGAGAGGGAAGTTGGTGTCCGAGTGTATCGAAGTCACGATAGCTCAAGTGGTAGAGCAGCGGCGTATTTAGCCGAAGGTCCTGGGTTCGATTCCCGCTCGTGACACTGACTTTTTCATTTCAACCAATACCTTACATAAAGATTAATTAATTGGAAGATGTTATTTGGTCAATCTGACCACGAAATATAATTTTTAATCATAAAATCGAATTTTCGTCAACCATCGTTTCAGACTGATGAACAGGATTTTTGACTAATAAAATGATATATACAAACGGTAAAAAACAAGGTAATTTCAAATTTAAAAAATCGTGTAACTAATGATTGATGAAATTTTGACATTTACTGATAAGTTTATAACCTGGTCACTTTTTGGTCAAAAACCATTTTTCTATTTGGCTTTAATTTTGTAGATAACTATAGATGCTTATTATCTATCCAAATAGATAATAATTATTGCAAAATGCTTGATAGAGGCCAGAGATTCCAAGTGCTATGGTGGGAATCAAACCAGCCAGGTAACCCATGCAACGAGCCCCCAAGTAATAAAAATCAAGCGAATTTTAATACTTAAACAGTTATTCACTCACTTCTTAACTAAATTAGTCTGTCACATACTCAGCCTAAAACAGGCATTCAATTGTTACAGATTAAGGCTTGCCTAGAGGTGGCAATCTTGATACAAAACCAGATATTCCATGGTGTTGTAAATGGTTTTTATCCACATCTCCGAAAATGGAAACTGTATATAGGCCCTAAAAAGAAAAAAATAAGTATAAGTGCCAGTCCCCTTAGGCAGGCTTGGGCATTCTCCCGCTTTGCGGCTGCGCCTTGCTTGCCCCTTCAGGCTTCCACATGCTGCGAAGGAGAGAGAGAAAAAAAAAGAAATGGCGGATGCTCAAACGGCGATGAAAATTTTTTTTTTATTATTCTGAGCTCCTTTTGATAGTTCTCATTTCTAAGCAATTACAGAAAACCTGATGTTCTGGTAGGATTGACTGAAATTTGAGACAAATTACATATTGAAATTTTATTTATTTGTTATTTCTAATTCTAACAAAAAATGTATGTACTCTTTGTTGTAACTGATAGACAGAACTCCCAAATGTTCCTATAACTTGATTTTTTATTTTTAAAGCTTCGTTTTTTTTGTTTTTTTTTTTTTAAGCTTTAAACCGATACCTTTTTATTTGTTTAGACACTTAAATGACGGGTTGTGTTTGAACGGTTATCCATCGGAGTTGGGCGAAAACGCCCAGACACCGATGAAAGCGAACCTGAAGCCCTGTTTTGTAAAGAAGAGATTTCCAGCTATGTTTCCGTTGACGACATTGAGGTGAACATCGAGCCCTTGACTCCCCATTTTTCTCGTGATTGCCTGTACTGTGGCCGAAGCACATCCCTTTCTTCTGTACTCTTCAACTGTCTGGACGGCCCCGATTCCGCCGTAGTACCAGAAGACAGCCCACGAGATCAGCTCTGACGAGCCCCTCAGGAAGAGACCGATGCCAAAATTAAGCTTGATTATCTGTTTGATCACCGTAGAGGAGCCGCGGAACCTGTGAGGCCAGATGCTGTTGATAATGTCCGCGTGTTCCGGTTTCAAATCCGCTAAGTACATCGTGTCTGGTATCCTGAGAAAAAAGACCCATCAAGGGGGTGACCGACATGTAAAAAAAATTGAACTTACTCAACCTGAATGTCCTTTGCTTCTTTCCAAGGCATCCAATAAACGTTATCATTGGACGAATTAAGCTGGCAACCTTTTGCAAGAAACACCTTCTGAATGCAATTCCACGTTTGCTCCTGCATACAAGTAAACAGTAGTATGTACCTGTCCCAGTCGAATTCGTACTGGTTCAGAGCATCAACCAACTTCTTGTGACCTTCCATCGTTGAGGCATAAAATGACCCCTCAAGACGTTCCTGCGTTGAATGAGCGTTTTAATAATAAATAAATACAGTGTAGTGCAAGGCTTACCTTCGTCTCAGTCTTGTACGTCATGTAGAAGAATACTCCATGGCGGTAGTTGCCGCCTGGCGCGAGAAAGTGGATGTCGAGTGATGTATTCTTCTGTCGCCATTTGCAAAGTGTGTCGATGTAGGAGTATGCCTGGAAAATGAACAAAAGGACTAAGAAAAAGTGAAAGACAGTAGATTAGCTAAAAAAAATGATAACGGATGAAGATAAAGGATGAAAGGATGTATCAAAATCAATAAGTTTTTCCACTAGTTCGAACAATCACAGATACTTCACTGTTATTTATTTATGGGCAACTACAACTTTTTTACAGTTCTGAGTAAAATTATACAAAATAGAACAAGGTTTTATAAACTTACTCTTTGAATAAGTAATATATAAATTTACGAATTTTTCTTTCCATCATGATATACAAATTAGGTTTATGATAGGTGACTGTGTAGGTGTTGGTATAGTTTTATAGATCCTTTGCTTTTGGTGTTTGACAACGTCATCGAAAGAGTACTCCACAATATATTGTCTGAATTTGTCCTAAAAATTCAGATCTATATCAGATTCAGAGAGCAAGACAGCCAATGAGTCAGAGTGCAAGGAAGAGTCAACGTGTCAAAGAGCAAGGCAGAGTCAATGAGTCAGAGAGTAAGGCAGAATCTAGAGTCAGAGAGTAAGGCAGAATCAAAGGGTCTGAGAGCAAGGCAGAATCAAAGGGTCTGAGAGCAAGGCAGTGTCTAGAGTCAGAGAGCAAGGCAGAATCAAAGGGTCTGAGAGCAAGGCAGAGTCAACGAGTCAGAGTGCAAGGCAGAATCAACGATACAGATAGCAAGGCAGAACCAAAGGGTCTGAGAGCAAGGCAGAGTCTTAAAGTTAGAGAGCAAAGCAGTCACTTTGACCATGATCGAACGCAGTAGTCCAGTTGTCCTTGATCAGAATAACAATCGAAATCCTTCCAAGTCGTAGCTAATTTATGAAATTGAGGAGTATGCTTTGTTTTTTAATTTACGTGTATCCCTCGTGGAAAATCGCACTTGAGCAGCTGGAGAAGCTTCGGCAGATCTTCGTCTGTGACTGGCCGAAATTCGTCTTCGATCATGATCGTGTCGTCGCTGACAGTAACTTACTGTTTGAACTTTGATACTGAGTCACTACTCACTAGCAGTATCACTGTCACGCTCAGAGTGGGAGTGGAAAGTGTTAGCCTCTGCTAATTAAATTGGAATTTTAATAAACAAGGCGATAACGCTTTGTAGATAAAGAAAAAAAAGTGCAATGGTTGGGTTTCAGGTCACTTTGGGGGTGTACCTGCTTCTTTTACCTCCGTATAAAATATCAAACGCGAATAAAAATGTCTCAAAAGCCGGGAAATACCGACCCAGTGAATTTTGGTGTTTTAAAATAATGTAATGTGATGAATATATCGAATTATCGATATTATTGACTGCGATTTATCGATATATTCATTACTTCTTGCCATCTCTAGTCAGCTAGTCAGAGACATGCGCACATGTTCCAAGCGCTTTCGCTCCCTTATTCGACTAGGGGCCGGAAATAATTTTTTTTTTACAAATACCAAAATTTAATCTAAAAAAAAAATTTAGTTATGATTTGTTCAAGAATTTATTTAAACATATTATTTGAAAAATGTGTAAAAAGGAAGAATGGAATAAGTTAATAAAAATGGTAGAGTAGCAGCGTATATAGCCGAAGGCCGTGGGTTCGAATCCCGCTTGTAACACTGACTTTTTTTATCTCAACTAAAAACCTTAATAAATTGAAAAGTAGGAAATAAATTTAAACAAGAAATATTATAAGAAAAACATGAATGGTAACTCTTAATAACTTATCCCTGTTTTTCTTGTAATGTCAATATACTACAAATTAAAAAAAAAAACAAAAAAAAACTAGTAATTATTATTTGGAAATGGTGAGAGGCGGTCTGGTGTGACGTAGGTTTAGAAAAACATTTTCTTTATCGTGCTAACGTTTCGATCTTTATTGAGATCATCTTCAGGGTCTGGGATTTATAAACATTGTTTAAATTAATGAATTTACATTTGGCACTCTCAACACGACACATAGCAATGACACATCTACCCAGAAAACAAACACTTTGAGTGAGTACAAATAGTTTGATTGACTCTAAAATTTCTATCATTGTGAAAATTCATTTCTTTCAGACGCATATCACGAGGTCCAAATAATCATCTAGATGAACACTAGTTCAAGGCCAAAAAAAAAAAAAAAAAAAAAAATAATCATTATTTAACGATCACTAAATACCGCACACCAATATTGTAAGTAGTTACCAGTGCCAAAATTTAGTATTTGTGTTTATAAAATATCTGCTAATTGTTGTTAATTTGTTTGAAAATATAGGCCCTGATGATGACTTTGAGGCCCGGATCGAATGCTTGGCAAAGTTGGAATTGTGTTTTTATTTTACCCTTTGACCATAATACTGATCATACATCAAATTAATCAGATTAAATAATATTTATAAATGATTATTATTATTTTTTTTACAATTGTTAAATCGGTTAGATTTTCATTCGGTCTCCCTTTGTATTATCTCCGTAAAATATCATGACAACGCGATTTCCGTATCTAAATTTATTTATTTATTTTGTTAATGTCATTCCTTTTTACCGAAAAAACGAATTTTAATCTTTATAATTGTTTTAAAAGTTTTAAAATTAATTTAAATTTTTTGTTGGGAGTTTGCTAGGAATCTTTTGAAATTTGGTTCCCCTTTCACCCCCCCCCACCCACAATGGCGACTGCGTCGAGCCTGCGCCCTGCCGTTCCCGACTTTCGTCCAGTCGGCGAAAAAGGAAAACAACATTTTTTTGTTTACGGAATGGCAGAGATTTTGTAAGCATTTTATTAACTTTTTCCTCCCTTCTTACTGTTTTTCGTCATAATTACAACATCGAATACCGACTTTTTCTTTTCCGATTTCAACATTTTTGTGTTTTGTTTATGTAAACGTTCGGGCTGTGAACCAATGTGAAAAATCACCCGTCTGGCATAACCTATCCGATTGTAAATCAATGTTCAAGTCCCCAACAACAAAAACAAAAACACTCGCTTTTACTTCATTTTTTTATTCTTAATTTTAATTGTTTATTTTTTTGTTAAATCAGCGATGACATCCTTGATGATGATATGGGAGAGATGGGCGACATGGCCGACATGGGGTTCGAGTTCGATCTTGACGAGGACGCACTCCTGGCCGACGACGAAGAGGTATTTTCACATTTTAATATTTCCTCATTTCCTTTGTTAAAAAACACACATACACAAAAAACAACTGGAAAATCAAAACTTTATTTTAATTTTTTTGTAAAAACACAAGCCAAATTCCCACTGTGATGATTCGACAACTTTCTACTTCTAAGTATATGCTTATTGTATGTTATGGTGTAGGAGGCTGAAGTTCCGGTTGTCATGGGCTATTAGAGTTATCCGGGACCGACTACTTGTCGGATATCGTGGACAAGGAGTCGAACCATTTGACAATACATTTTTCATACTACAGTAATCCCTTAACATTTGCGGTTTAGACATTTGCTTTCACTATTCACATATGAAAAAATGAGGAAAATTTTGACATTTGCGGAAGTCTGATTTCTGTATTCGCGGGGGGAAAAAAAAAACAGTTTTGTAAGCAATTTTATTTTCATACCGAAAATACTTCTTTAAAAAATGGATTGGAGGTGCTAATTGCCCCTCAGAAAACTTTTGCCTGCTTTGAACATATAGTTCCTTCTTTCTTCTTAGTTTGTATTATTCTCTCGTGGAAGTTGTTTTGCAAAATGCCTCCTCTTCCAAAACGGAAAACACCTGTCCAGACACTTGGTGAAAGAATAAAAATTTTGGACATTTTTTATTCTTATACAACGTTATATTGTTACGTTTTTTATGCAGGCCAAAGCTTTTCTTCAAAATATCTCGGGGAAATTTTAACCTTGAGGGACCAACTTATTAAAAAAGCAATGGATTTCAACCCCATCTTTAAATCGAAGGTTTAATTTTAAAAGGGGTGTCAAGGCCGCTTCAAATCCTTATGTGGAAATTCTTAAAGAAATTAATTATTCGGCGAAACAGTGAACAATTAATAGTTATTTCTTTCCTTGCACATCAAAAAATACAAACACTGTTTTGTCTTCTATTATGTTTATTTTGAATAAACTTTTTTTTAAACTTCTGAATTGTAATTGTATCTAATTTTGGCTTCATGGAATATAACCCTCCTTACAGCATAGGAAAATAGACTCAACATTCGCGGATTTAACATTCACGGCAATTTTCTGGTACCAAACACCTATGAATGTTAAAGAATTACTGTATTTTACATTGCAAGTTGGGATTCGAACCCAGGGCCGGGATGTTTTCCGTGCCTCTGCCCCACTCGACCACAAAGCTCTCTTTCCAGAAAATGTTCCTTTAAAGGAAATCATAAATACTGAAACATTTTATTTTAGGTTGTCATTGTATTAAAGGAAATTGCATTTGCGTCCCTGGGGGCCAAAATTCGACTATTTCACTAAGGATTTCTTCAAAAACATCCACATCTCTTGCTGTACGTGACTGCTATCACATAAATTCACATAGATAGGATCCAATAAACTTCAGCGGGTACCCCACTGCCATTTGTTCCTTGCCTTTGCTTTTCCCCATCCCTAACCATACACTTTCATTGGACTGTGTGTGTGCAAGGGTGGTCGGGTTGACAAAATGAGGGAATGGTTCATTTACATATGGCGGAAACTTAGATCTTGGGATAATCGGAGGTGATGACAGATCTGATCATGAATTATGGGGATGAGAATGGTGGCTGATCTGCCCGGAAGGGTGACTAGAAAAGTTTTGTTTCACGGCAAATGCCACCAAAAACCCACTGCTGTGGTAAGATTCTCCCGATGTTGTTTTCCCGTTGCAAAAACAGCTATTCATCAATTTCCGCAGTGCAATTGGGGCCACCAATGCGCGAATATCTGCACAAAATATAGTTCGCACAGACTTCGTGCACTGATCGACGAGCGTGTGATTTATACTTAACTCTCTTTCACAAAATTTAACGCTTACCATTTTGTATGCCCAAGTGCACGATGGCCGAATATGGCAGTCTTGAGACAGTTAGATAAGCTATCATGGGTCTCACAACTGCAATCAGGTATAGAATGAGAATCCCTTAATTTGAGCTCCCGGATGCCAAGATTGGCACATGACATCACGTCAACTATACTTAAAATTGGGATTGTAAATTTATTTTTCCATGATTTATTATTTAAATTGTTTTGATTTGTTTTAGAAATCAACATCCCAGTCGAGAGCTGTCGATCAGTGAGTATTTTAATATGGCCAGGTGCCTTATATCATGTATTTAGATGTGGTATTTTATTTTTATTTTTTTAAACCAGCAAAGCAATTGAAGACGAAGATTTTATTGAAATTGGGATCGAGGATGATATCTCTGATGACCTAAAAAACGATGTCTCGGAGAACAAGAAGGCGCAAGCTGTTACTTCCGAGGAGAGAAATGGTAAATTTTTTTATTGATAATTTTTATATATTTATTAATTTATTTTTTGTCATGAAGATAGTGACGAAGGAAATAAGGAGAGGTCCAGATTCAAGGCTGAAAGGAACATCGTTTCCGGACCAAGGACAACAAACACGATTCCTGAAACGCTCGGTAGGAATTAATTTAAAAAAATTATTTTATTTTTTAACATCCTTTTTATAATTGTGTGTTATAAAAAGATGCAGTACCGGTGAAGACCAACTACCAACCGAACAATCAGAGCCGAGGGAAAGGCCCTAACAGGCAATTCAGGGGCGGTGCGAGGGGCAGGCACAAGGGTGGGTCGAACGGCCCTCCACCGGGCATGCATCCGTCACCATACCAGCATCCCGGCCCACCGCCAATGTCTCACCAGCCGCACCCACATCCACACCCACAACCGCACCAGCCTCAGTTCTCGTCAGGCAACATACACGTCAACCCGCATTTCCGTAACAACTTGAACCTTCGTAAGTCTCAGCCATTCTCATAAAAACATAACAAGAATAATAAAATAGTTTAATCAATTATTAAAAAAAAAAAAAAAATTACATTTCAAAATAAACACAAAATAATAAAAAATTTAAACAGTTGTAGATTTTTTTGGTATGTTTTATCATGTTTTTAATGTACAAAATACAGCTGATATATGAACAAGCTCTTTCAAAATGTTTTCCCATGTTGTTATTTTACGAAGCATATTTTTAAAACTTGCCTTCTTTTTATGAAGCCGGTGCAGCAGCGATGTGGAACGGCTGGAACCATCAGGACTTGCTGCCACGTCCGGCGGCGCCTCATCAGCCCTACCAGGAGCCGAATTATGTAAGTACTATCATATTTTTTCCCTTTGAAAATATGTGCAGTGGTTTAAATCCTCCTCCTCCCAGGGTAACCAGAGGTGGAACGACAACCCTCCGGGCGACTACCACTACCAACAAGGATACCAGGAACACGAGGTTCGTAAATGAAAACAATTTAAATTATATTTTACTTATATGTTTATTTGTAAATAGTACTACAACGGGGGCCCTAATGACCAGTACTATCAGCCAGGTTACAACAATGGGCCACCAGGACCGCCTCCGGTAAGTACATAAATATAACCACCGTTTTTGAGTGACATTAAATTGTTTTTTCTTCAGCAGATGCAAGGGGGCTGGAATCAGCAGTACTATTCTCAACAGGAGGACTATAACCAGCCGCCATACCAACCTATGGAACAGCAGGTGATCATTCTCTTTAAGTCCAAACTTAAGCTTTTCTGACTTTAATTGTTTAAAAAAAATACCATAGAACAAGAAGAATAAAGCATCACAGCCAAGAAAGAATACAGCCAAAACCTGAAAAGCCATAGAATCTTATCATTCTCTCCCTTTCTCTCTCTCTCTCTCTCTTTCTTTCACTCTCTCTCTCACCCCCTCTCTCTCTTTCACTTTCTCCCCTTCTCCCCTCTCTCCCTCCCTCCCCTCTCTCCCTCCCTTCCTCCCTCACCTCCTCTCACCCCTGTTCAGTACCCTCACCCTCTCCCTTACCTAGAGAGTAGAGGGTCAGGCCTCACCCTACCAAGAAATTTCATTACTTTTTTTAGTCAGGTGGTTTATTGTTCTCTTTCTTTTGGCAGCCTCCGTACGGAAGGAACGCAGGGCCAAACTTCCCACCTCAACACTTCCACGGACCCCCGCCACAGGTGCCGCCTCACCACATGATGCCGCCTCACCCACGTTTTGGCAACCCGAAGATGAACAAGTTCAGAAACATGCCTATGCGAGGCGGTATCGGTATGTATAAAATAAATAATCTTTTTTATTCATTGATAACTTTTGTTTTTGTTTGTAGTAAAACCAATTTTGCCTCACGGGATTAAACCAAACACCAAACAGATCAGAGAGAACTATCATCAAAACAAAGTAAACATTTTGTTTATCTAGTGCTATTATTAAAGAATCAGCTCATATCGTTGAATTTAACATTTGGTCAACTTTCATTTTAAACCAGGTTGCTCTTAAACAGCAAAGGTTCGATGTGCTCAGGAAGGTGACGATAAGCAACCTTCATGAGGTCCAGATGGTCGACTGCCAGCCGAAGAAAGTGCAGAAGATCGAACCGGAAGAGGAGGACGAGGAGATGAAAGCGTATAGGCTGAAGATTGAAGAGCAGAAAAAGCTGCGTGAGGCCCTGCTCAAGCAAAAAGAGGAGAAGAGGAAAGTCGCAGCGCAGCAGAAGTCGCAGTTGCTTGAAGCCGGTAATTTTCCCTATTTTTTTAATACATCCCTTATAACAATAATAATAAATGATTTATTTTTACGCGACAGAGCGGAAAAAAGAAGGTAGAAATCTTTTGTTGATACTATTATATCAATTTTATAAATTTAAATATTTTAAAAAGTAGAATAATTCATTAAATTTTTGTTTAAATTAAATTTAGGTGTCTCTTCAAGTGAAATAGAGGGGAAGAAGTCAGACGGCAGTGCCGAAGAGAGTGAGTTCAAAGTGGTTCGGGTGAGAACGCCAGACGGGAAGACCATTTTGAAAAAGGTAATTTTTTTAACTGTTGATTTCATTTTTAAGCTGTCGAAACAAGAAAAAACTAATTTGAAGAAAATCGTTTCTTTTTGCCAGCTTACCCTTGCACAAATATCAAAGCTGAAGAAAGTCACACCATCGCCAGCCAAATCGGAAAATGGAGTCGATGTGAGTTGATCCCGCCCCTTTTCATATAAAAAAAGTGATTTGGTTATTTAATCGCTTCTTTTGTGCAGAGCACTGCTGTGAAAGCTGAGGTGAAGTCGAGGATAGTGGCGATCGACAACCTGTCAGCATCGACGACCAAAAGGCAGATCGAAGCGATGGCAAAGCAAGTCGGCGCATATGAGGTACGACCCCTGTTTAATCTACGTAATAACATAAAAAACCCTGTTAACGACTTTAAAACTAAAACGCTTTAATTTTTCTCTTTTTCCCTCCCCCTCTGTTTATTTCTTTATATCGCTCAACCCTTCTATTTAAAAATTAAAAAAAAAAAATTGACGAAATGATAAACAGAGCGTAAGTGTAGACGCCGAGTCAAAGAGGGCAGTGATAAAATTTGCCAACGAAGAATCTGCGTTGCTCTTCAAGACAAGGAACCAACGCAAGATGGTCGACCTTTCAATGATCACCGTCCATCTCATGGCGCCTGACAATGAGCCCAAGTGAATTGCCGACAGTGCGTCGTATTTTTAAACAGTTTTTAATCCCTTTCAATTTATTCAAGTGTATATTTTTTTCCTTTTATTATATAAATTTTGTACATACCCTCTTCAACATTGTATATTTTATATTATTAGAACTGATTTGGATGTTTTCTTTTTTGTTGTAAATTATCAAGACAGAAAAAACAGTGGGAAATCCATTTTTCCATTCTTATTGTAAAAAAATATTGGATTTTTGTTTTAAATATTTTTTTTCTCTATCTTGCCGTGTATATTTGTATTGTATAACAGCCTGATATTGTATAAAAGAAAAAGAACATTTTTTTCTTTTTTCTCTATACTAGAAATATTATATAGATAATAAATATTAATTTTAAAAACCATTGTTTAATATTATTATTATTACGGAAGAAAAATAATTACTAAAATTATTTAAAAAAAATAAAAGCGATGTAAATATACAATTGTATGAACTTTTACGTGTTTTTCCCTTGTTTTCGTTAACGATTTGATGGTCGAAATGATAGCTTACCAACAACAGCGAGGTTGATTTTGCGCCGTTGGCTCAAAATCTCCCTCGCTCTTGAGAAAAAACCCTCGGGAAGAAATAAATAATAAAACAAAAGGGAAAAACACGGAAAATTCAGAAAGAATACCAAAAAAGCACCCCTTTTTGAGAGAGAGAAAACAACAAACCTACGCAATTTTTTTATCTTATAAAAACCTTTTTAAATTGTATAAAAATTTTTAAAAAACCTCGTACTTTAACCATCTTTTATATAAAAATTATTTAAATATATATTTTTTTTAATAGATTTTAGATAGAGAAATATTTAAAAGGCTGAAAAGCAGGGTGAAAAATGGTAAAGCCATTTATTTTTTTCTCTCCAATTTTGTATCTTATTTCAGTTGATTGCTTGTTGTCAGAAAGAACTTTGGTCTACTCGTACTGAATTTTATGATATTGAAATATTTTTCCCTCTGCTTTAATTTNGGTATATATAAAATCAAAGTAAACAATGGGAAAGAAAGAAAAGAAAAGAGAGAAAAAAGGAAAATTCTTAACAAAATTTGAATTTATTTTTGTATTTATTATTATTTTTTAATCAAAATTTCCTGTTTTTAAAAGTCATAATGATTGATGATGAATTTTCCTCTTCTCTTTTTTTTTATCATTTTCGTTCTACTTACTACTCACTCTTCTCTCTTGTTAAAGTACAAGGTTTTATTTAAAAAAAGAAGAAAAGGAACAAATTTCACAGCTTTCCTGAGCTCTACTGTTCTCATCTCGCCCTTTTCTACATTTATTTATTATTTGTTTATTTTTCATTAATTAACAACCTTTAAAAAAATAGTATATATGTGTACATACATATATATGTATACGGATTTTACGGATATGATACAATGTTCAGATCCGAATATAAAAAAAAGACAAATATTGCAAGGTTTGTACATGTAAGAAAAATTGTCTTCCCATTAAATGATTGCAAGATATGCATTTGTAACTATGACTCGATACCGGGAAGAAAAAAAAAAAAAAAATAAAAATAACGGTAAGTCTGATTATGACTGTGATTTGAATTCCGACTGTGATATTTAAAAAAAAAATTGAAGCTTTATGTATATAATTTATATATAAAAAATGTCTAAAGTAAACAGAGAAAAAAAAATTAAGTTGGACAACAAAGAAGAAGAAAAGACAATAAAGAACATAAATAAGGTAATGAAAAAAGGAGAGAGAAAATAAGTCTGTATCTAAAAAAATATTTCTTGGAAAATTGAAATAGTTTGATAATAACTGGAGGATATGCACGAGAATTTGTTAATCTTGATAAGAAGAAGAAAAAAGATGGATGATTATTGGGTTCCGTGGCGATTTTCAAGCTCGTAAAAATTAATTTGTTTTATGTAATTTTAAATATTTTTATGGGAAATAGGTCTGAAAAAGACACGTTGAGCGTGTTGGAAAAAAATCGCTAAAACCCAATAATAATTCTTTTAGCATGTTCAATGCTGGCAGTAATTTTTATTTTTATCTTTAAATTAATTTTTCTTCCGACTGGCAGGTCAGAACTCTGGCTTGCTAGATCAGTCACATTGAACCTGTTAAAAAAAAAGCTTTTCTGTGGGTTGGGCTTTTGGACATGTAAAATTCTATTTATTTTTGTTTATTTATTTTTTGTTTGTACATTATTTATAAAAGAAAATGAGCCCTGTCGGACAGACAAAAAATAACAGGGCATCACTGGGATGGATAAGAAAATGAAGTCTTGTCAAATGTGAATGTAAAAACAAAAATTCATCTATTTATTATTTTTTTCAATTGTCTGTAAACCAAGAATTGTAAAAGGTCAATGGTTGGTGTTTTTGTAAAGCGAATTTTCAGCCTCCAGGAAAGATATACAAATAAGAAAAAGGTAAATAACTGGTGCTGGGTGTTGGGCTGTGAGTCAGTGATATGCTGAACCAATGGATCATTTATTGGGTCCATCTTCACTCACGGGTTTGTTGAACAACTCAAACACATTTTGGCATTGCCCCATCTTCAGTGAGAACTGAGTAAGTGATCAAAAGACTGATAGGTGAAAGACTGAATAAGTAGGAGGAAGACCAAGTAAATAAGCAAAAGACATGGTATGTGAGCAAACAACAGTGAGTAAGCGACAAACTGAGTGAATGAGGGTAAACACTGAGTAAGTAAGCAAAAGAAAGGAGTAAGTGAAAAATGACTGAATGAAAAACTGAGCAAGTGAGGAAAGATTGAGTACGTGAATGAAAACGAGTGAGGGAAAAACTGAGAAAGTGGGGGAAAGAATGAGGGAGTGAATAAGGAAAAGAGTGAGCGAAAAACTGAATAAGTGAGTGGAAGAATGAGGAAGTATGCTAAAGATTGAGTGAGTGAGTGAACCAAAGATTGAGTAAGCGATGGAACAACTGAATTAGTAAATGGCTTAACAAATGAGTCAGTGAACACCTCTTTGAACTATACACTGATAAAATGAACGAAACATACTTGTAAACAAATTGTTTAACTCCAAGTTGTGTTGCACATTGAATAGAGATTAAATGAATGAGGCTGTGGGCGACAAAATGAACAATTAGTAAGTGAGCGAATGAATAAAGTAAGCTCGAGAAAGAGCAATAGCCTGAGTTAGTTGATCTACCGATCAATCTATGGTAGTTAATCGAACAATTGAGTAAGCAAATGATTGAGTGAATGATCGAACAATTGAGAGTGACCAAACGACTGAGCAAATGGATGAAGAAGTGAGCTAATGAGCAAAAGCCTGAGTAAGTGACTGAACAATTGAGCGAGTGAGCAAAAGAATGATAGACCGACGCTGAGTAAGTGAGCGAAAGAATCAGCGAGAAAGCAAAAGACTCATTAAGTAGTGGAATGGAGAGACCGAATTACTGAGTGAATGGGAGAAAAACTGAAATATTGAGAGAAAAACTGAGCGAGTGACCTGAGATTTAAACCTATTACTTCAAACAACCCCACGGGAAAGTCTAGCTTTTGTGTGATTTACAATAAATTACTAGCAGGCCTTGATAATAGCCCTACTCTGGTTTTGACGGTTCAAGGTAAAACCTCGGTCTTGTCCTATCACCTATGTTGGGTTCTCCAGGAGCTAAAATCCCTTTTTCTGTTTCTGTCCCTACATAATCTACATTGATCACCATACGATGATCACAGTTCTGAAAGATGATATTGAACTGGCGCACGTCCTGTAAATATGCCTGCTCGTTTGATTCTGTTAAGTATGGCTTCCTCTTTGCTGTATTGGTTGTGCTCTTTGCCCAAAATTTCAGTTTTCTTTGTGTAGCTTTAGTTTATTCCACCATATGGATTTGCGCCTGTGTTGTTCTGAGGCTCTTTTTTTTTTAGCTGCTGCCTCGTTACCATTACCCTCGAGACCAGGGACTACGAGCTTTAGGCTATTTGAAGCAGTTTTTTAGAGCGTTAAGGTAGCTCCAGACAAGTTTTGAGATAATTTTGCTTGGAGAGCCTTTAGAACTGTCTGTCTGAAAGAACTTGGCATATTTGAAATGTTTTTTGTTTATTTCATTTATATGCACTAGCAGTTCGGCCTGAAATATGGTTGTGGTGCCCAACACAACTCCCTTTATGCCTTTGCCCATATCATTTCCCATCTTTGAGCCATCGAATACCATAGGAGTGCTTTTAGATTAGGAAAAAAAAGATTAGGTAAAAAATGTACTGCTATCAAAAGAGGATATTTAATAATTTAATTGTAGCCTTTGGTGGCAATTGCTGAGAAATATTCCTTTTTTTATATAAGCTTAGACTAGGCCAAATATGTTTTTACATTATAAAATTTTTTTTATAAATAAGAAACATTTTAGTCATTTCAACATATTTTCAATCACGTATCATTCATATTTTTGTTCTCATTATGTTAACCAGTTCTTCACCATCATATTATAATCTTAGGAATCTTATATTCCCTTCAATTACATTCTCGCTTTCATTCTTGTTATATTTCCCATTAATTCACTCAAGTCACGTTCTTTTTCATCTCAGTCAGTCCTCGTCATTCATGATCATTATCTCATGCCTTCACTCACATTTTGCTAATGTATATGTTGCCTTAACTTTAACAAGCTGTCATGCTGTAGTGGGTCTCCGTATACTGTGTTCTTTTTAATTATTATTTTTTGCGAAATCAGTATTTTAGTAGAGTTTGATAAACAATTGTCGTTAATTCTTTGCTGCCATACTTTATTTATATATTTTTATTATTAAAAAAAACTATTATTAAAAAATAATTAATTTTTAAACTTTTTAAATAAGTTTTAAATATTTATATTCGTTTAAATTGGTTGTTTTTTGATAAAAAATTTGGCGCCCCTTCCGTATATGGTGTATTCGCCCCCTTCAGAAAAAAGTCATCAGAACTTTTTTTAAAAATAATTTATATCAATTAATTTTTTTTTTAAATTTGTAGTACATTACAACGACCTTAAGGTAGGTAACAAGTAAATTTAAAAAAAAAATTTGCCTAGTTACTAGTTAAAGGTGTTTTTCCCACTGAAGAAAGTTGTCTCTTCTGGCAAACCTGACGACATATCCTTACAAATGGTTAACAGTCGTTGTCGGACTACTTGTTAGTTGGCCAGGCAGCTTATTTTCGAATTGTTCAAAAATAAACATAACACACCAAAGAAAAAAACAGGAATCGTACGTATATCGGTTTAAAATTGTATTAAGTAAATTGTATTAAAATTTAAAAAAGTAAATAATCAAAAGGGAGAACATGTAGGGCGATTAATAAAATGATTGAAATTTTCACCACAGTCTTAGTGCATGGGAAGATCATCAAAATCAGTTGGTATGAAGAGCCAAATCACATTTTAAACACTTCGTGGTTGCTTTTTCTCTTGCATAAACGACAGTGGAATTGTTTCATTTTGCCAGTGGTAAAGCCCACTTTTAGTCATACCTATCTACCTTCGCTATTTGTGATGGACGTCCTTTTGATTTTTTTTTGGTGTTTACGCCGGCATATTACCCATGAAGTTTTCTATTTTCATTTTACTGTCGAGCGGGATCGGCCGACCAGGATCAGGTCCCCGCCGCGCGCCCGCACCCACTCATTCAGCTCCATCATCTTCTAAATTTTCATGGTTGAAGATAATCAAAAAGAAACGTTTATCGACTTTAGAAATCCACAGATTATGTTGAAAGCTTACAGATTCTAAGTTTATTGGTTTGGAAATGTTTGGGACTTTGCTCAGATTTTTTGTCAGTTTGTCTCTTTCATTTTCATATTCTGAACATTCAAAAGTTATGTGGGAAGGATTTGAAGGGCAATCGCAAGTGGGACAGTTCGGAGACAATGCCAAACTGATTCTCTTCTTGTAGCTACCCCAAAGGCCATGATTTGTCTTCAGTCTAAAAATAGTAGAATAGAACTCCTTTGACATTCCTTCTGGGCTATCGCCTTCCAAAAACCATGGTTTTTTCTTGAGCTCAGGGAACAGTGACCTGTAATAATTGCCAACATATGATGCGTTGTACTTTTCTTGCCATAGATTTCTACAAAACTTTTCAAGTTCAAGTGAATTTTAATGTCAAGGGTTGGACCTGATGTTGCAGCCTCCTTTGCAAGTGTGTCCACCATTTCATTTTGCCATAAGCCTGCATCCTTTTGATTAGGATTAGAAAAAAATGGCTTTAACAATTCGCAATTGAAATGCAAGATGGTCCAAGCGTTATGTTGTGTTGAATCGATGCTATTGGAAATCAGCGGGAAGGACTGGTTTCTTCGCTCTAATGCAGTACTTAAAGCTACCCAACTTGGGTTTGGCTCCATGGGGTTTGTCGACAGCTAGGTTATTTCAGCCCCCAATGCAAACTATAATCTAGCCTAAAAATTAAATTCATACATAGAAATACTCATATAAATGGAGTACTCGCTATTACTCCGTTGACCGACACTCAAAATCGATAATCCAATCTACGTTACGATCAGTGGGGTACTTTTATGAATATTCCACCATCAAACCTTGAAACATACTGCTGGAGGGCTGATGGTGACACTATATTTCACTGCACATGCCATCAATGCTTGTGCCCTAGAAAATCTAGAAAAGAGGTTACACTGGCAAAAAATCCTCATAGGATTGGATAGCCAAGCATCTATTAAAGCATTATCGTGTAAAAAAAATCACATCAAAATTAGTAAGTGAATGCATCCAGAACCTCCAAAACCTGGGGAAACATAACATGATCATATCTCTGATGCCAGGGCACAAAGAAAATATGGTATGAAGAAATATGATCTTATTTTAAACTGATCTTATCAATGACAGCTATGAATCCTTTTAAATCATTAAAATTTCTTTGCTTTAGTTTATGTTTATTATTTTGTTCCGTTGTAGATGAATTTGGTGTATTTACTGTTATTGGGTTGTCCGGAAAATAATGCAGGATTTTAAGTTTTCATTAAAAAAAATCTATATAAAATATTCTGTTTACGTTTACAGGATTACTCATTTGTATGAATGTCAACACTTATTAATCCTCTTCCAAATGATATTGTTTGTTTACCTCTGTAGCATTCCGCTACTTG